CCAGGAGGCACGGGCTGCGAGTCCAGGTCCTGGGGATGCCTGCGCCTGGGGGTCTGCGAGCGGCGACCGGGGCGTTTGCGGCTCTTACTAGTCCGCAGGGGGTGTGTGTCCTTGGTTTTCGGAGTCCTGAGTGAGTGAGTGCGTGCGCGCGCGTGTCTGTGTGTCTGTGCGTGTCTGTGTGTGTATGTGTCTGTGTGTGTGTCTGTGTGTGTCTGTGTGTGTCTGTGTGTGTGTGTGTGTATGTTTGTGTCTCTGTGTGTGTCTGTGTCTGTGTGTGTGTCTGTGTGTGTGTCTGTTATCTGTGTGTGTCTGTTATCTGTGTGTCTGTGTGTGTCTGTGTGTGTCTCTGTGTGTGTCTGTGTGTGTCTCTCTGTGTGTGTGTGTCTGTGTGTGTGTCTGTGTGTGTCTGTGTGTGTCTCTGTGTGTGTCTGTGTGTGTCTCTCTGTGTGTGTGTGTCTGTGTGTGTGTCTGTGTGTGTCTGTGTGTGTCTCTGTGTGTGTCTGTGTGTGTCTCTCTGTGTGTGTGTGTCTGTGTGTGTGTCTGTGTGTGTCTGTGTGTGTGTGTGTCTGTGTGTGTGTGTGTGTGTGTGTGCACGCGCGCACTGGCCGAGGGTGGGGAGGGGGTTCTGCGGGCGTGTGTGTCCGCAGTGCGTGCCCCGGCCTCGGAGTGGCATCGCGGCTGTGGGTTTGGTGCTGGTGCCTCGAGCGGGGCGGGCTTCACCTTGCCCGCGTGTCTCCGGGTGGAGAGCGTGTGGGAGAGCCGTGGGTGTGGGCGTCTGCACCTCCATCGGTGTCGAGACCGTGTGTAATTGTGTTTATGAGGCTGAGCTAATATTTGGCCTTGGCTTTTGGGAGTGTCCTTGCCGGCGGTGGGGGACAGAGCGGGAGATTTCTGACTGAGCAGGGTAAGTGGGTAAGTGGTGGTCAAACACTCAACTTTGCCCAGAGGGTGTGGTCCCTGGAGCCGGTGTATGTGTGGGGGTAGCGTTGCTCCCCCAAGCCCGGGGCCTGGAGTGGGCTGCGGGAGAGGACAGGGAACCAGCTGCGTTGTGGACGCGTCCAGTACTCACTCTGGGGATGGGACGCGTGTCACTCCGGCCCCAACCCCCTAGGGGCAGATCGGAGAAGCGTGGCCGAGGTCGGCAAGGCCTCCTCCAGCCTCCCAGCTCAGTGCAGGGCGGGGTAGGAGTCAGAGCTGTCCACGCTGGAGAAAGGGCTGCGGACGGGGGCGGAGACCCGAGTCGCTATGCCTAGGGTTCCTTCTTGCGCCCCTAGCCCTTTCGCTTTCTGTCCCATGTGAGTTTGGGGGGCGGCCCATGAGGAAGGTAGGGGGGAGGGCTGGGAAGGGGGAGGGGCTGCCCGCTTTGTTCGCCCAGTTCTTGCCTTCCCTTTGGAGGGGAGAGCTGAGGACGTGTCCGAGGCAAGTCGGGGAGGGACTTGGAGGCGGGATGGGGGTGGGGAGGGGGATTTCTCTCCAGCTGCTGCGGCTTTCCAGAGAGACTCAGCCAGGCCACGTGGGAGGGAGCAGGGATGGCGGAGGGGGTAGGAGCCTTACCCTGGTCAACCCCAGGCCCATCTCCTGGAAACCCAAACTGCGGGATCTGCTGGGACCCCTTCTCTCCCTACAAAGACACGCCCCTTTCTAGGCTGACTGCCCACCTGGCTGGAGGCTGCCAGGGCAATGGGGAGCTCGGGTTGTCAGGTGAAGAGGGCAGAGCACATCTCCTGGAACCCAGGAGATAAGGAACAGCTGTGCCCCTGTCTCTGACTTTTCCAGGAGCTCCAGACAACAAGGGCTCAGTGTCACCCAATGAAGCAGGACCAGGCCTGGGAAGTGCAGGGAGCATTATGAATCCTGGTGGGGTCTCTGGCCAGGGGCTCAGTTTGCCTGGAAGACCCCAGGCAGTGGCAGGGACAGATCTGGGGCTCCCTGGACAGCAGTGTGTGTGGCTAAAGCAACTACTCTACCAGCCTTCAGGCCCCAAACCTTTGCTGTACAAAGCTCGGCCCCCTTGGGACACCTTATAGAGTTCTGTATAGCCACAAGGTTGCTCATTCATTCATTCAACAAATATTTACTGAGCACCTTTTATTATTATT